AGTTTTCTGGAGGAGACTCAGTTTGGCAGGATCTCACTCAGCCATTATTGGCATTATCAGCCATTATTGACAGTACATATTTAAAATGTATGGATTCAGGAAATTCTTATCCCAAGAATTTGATTACCATATATCAGTGTCTGATTACAAATCAAAAATATGCTTAGGTCCTTATGGGAAACCCAGAGTACAGTAACAATTTCTTTTACACATGAATAAGACATCATATGAAGATATACTTCTAAAGATATGTTCTAGGAAGTTACTCCACCCTAAACTAGAGGTATATGACCAAGCATAAAATAAAATTACATTAACTTCTTTGATAATGAAATAATGAAGCTGATACCAACTCTACAGCCAGCAAAAATCCTAAATCTTTCCACCAGAAGGTAAAATCCAAAAGCAGTAATAAGACAAATATTTGCTTTACTGAGGTGAAAGTCACACAACATAAAATAACCACTTTATAGTGGACAATTTAGTGACATTCCTCACATTCACAACGTTGTACAACTATCACCTCTATCTCCAAAACATTTTCATCACTCCAAAATAAAATCTTATTCCCAGTACGCAATTACTCCCCATTCCCTCCTCCCCCACCCCCAAGACCCTGGCAACCACCACTCTGCTGTCTCTATGGATTTACTCATTCTGGATATTTCACATAAGTGGAATCATAACATGTGACCTTTTACATGTGACTTCTTTTACTGAGTATAACATTTTGGAGGTTCATTCACATTATAGCATGTATCAGTACCTCATTCCTTTCTATGGCTGATAATATTTTCTTGTATGTATGTCCCACAATTTGTTTATCCATTCATCTGTTGATGGACATGTGGGCTAGTTCTGCCATTTGGCTATTGTGAATAGTGCTGCTATGAATATAAAAAAAAAATTTATTGTAGTAAAAATATACATACCACAAAATATACCATTTTAACCACTTTTAGATGAATTCAGTGTTACGCAAGCATCACTACTATCAATCTCTGGAACTACTTCATATCCCAAACAGAAAGTATTAAAACACTAACTAACCCCCCATTCCTTCCTCTCCCTCAGCCCCTGAAAATCATCATTCTACTTTCTTCTCCATGAATTTGACAAGTTCATGTACTTCAAATACATAAAATTATATAATGATTGTCCATTTACACCTGGTTATTTCACTGAGCATATTTTTCTCAAGGTGAACATCAAAACTTTTTATAAAACAAAAATACACATTTCATTTGTAAAAATGACTAAAGTTTAACATTGTAATCAAACAGCAACAACATCATCAATAACGTGTACAAAGCACCTTTTGCTGGAATCACTTCATTCATTCCTCACAATTGCCCTGTGAGGTGGGCTTTACAGATGAAGAAATGAGGTCCAAGGAGGATAAGTCATTTGCCCAAGGACAGGAAGCTTGTAATACAAACATGCATATGCAAGTCTCCCAACTCCATCCCCAAACTCCCAGTCCCTTTGAATTGACAATATTGGCTGCCTCCTAGCCCACTACCATGCCACTTGTAACGGTGGTCAAGAGAGACCCATGTGGAAGGAAGAGCCAGGGAAGGCTCCAAGAATGAGGAAGAAGCTTCTGCTAGAAGGGGGGAAACAAATGGGCATGCCAGGCAGCACCATGACCATCAGTGACCTGGATGCAGATGAGCCTGGGTACTGGGCAAAGAGGAAAGAAGCCGCAAATGGATTGGAACAGTGTGTATCCTAAACAAATTTGAAAAGAGCTTAGAAGAATCCTTTCATTCCCACCTATAATGACTTACCTTAAACAAGAACCTTTGTTCTTTTTTTTTTTCTGCTTTACCAGAGTATAGAGATAAATAAAATTTCAGCCAAAAGCTACATGCACCCCTAGAGCTTCCTAGTTGGCATCAGCTGCCAGTCGGCATCTCTATTTTCACCGCATCCTGGACTGGAGGCAGGATGTGGAAGGGATGAATATCAGAAGTGATATTCAATTCATACATTACAAATCCTGATAGAAGCCAAGTAAGCACTAAAGTGAATTTAATTCATTTATTTGATTACTTATGCCATAGGCTACCTTTGCCTTTAAGATTGGCTTCCACAGAGCAAAAAATAATAAAAGCAAAAAACAGCCTCAGTTGTGAACCACAATTTTCTAGAATTTGTTTCATCTTTTTCCAAAAAACATTACTTATTTTCATCTTATAATGGAAACCATATTAAGGAAGGTAACTTACAATTTTTTTTTCCTGAGAGAGTGGGTGCATGTGCAGGGGAGGGGCAGAGGGAGAGAGAGAAAAAACATTTTTGGGAGAGGGTGCAAGTGAGCAAGCGGCAAAGGGGAGGGGAGGGGAGGGG